TCATAAAGATCACCGAAAATAAAAAATATAATAATAAAAATAATAACAATAAGAAAACAGATGCTGTGTCTTCGCAAGAAAAGCAGTCAACATGGTAGAAAATATCGGGCCAATTTAATGCTATTTGTTAAAACAATTAATATTAAATTTTTAAACAACAATTCCGCCTACGACTGCAATAATCAGGAAATTCTACAATAACCAAAAAGAAGACATTCGGAAACACATTTCCAATCAGAATAAAAACCTTTATAAAACTGATGGCGGAGGAGTTGTGCCGTGCCTTCGGTTCCCAGGGGCAATGCAGATAAAATATTATTATCCATTGTAAATAATAAGACCTTGTATGGCGTGAATCAGTCACTTGCTGCTTTTGATGGTGATTGGGTACAGCCAAATTAAAAATTCATGATGTACGTAGGTACTTATTTTATGAAAATAGGACATTATGATTACACAATTCATATACGTATGCTGTATATTTGAATGTGTGACGGATTCTAGGCAAGGAGGGGGTCGATTTTTCCCGGACGCGAGCATTGCATCGAATTCGTTAAAAAGCATGGTAAAAGTTTCAGATCTGAAATAATAGACATTTTCGGCACATTTTAAGCATTTTTTGAGCGTTCGCAATCTAAAGCCGAGGATTTCTTCCTTAATTGTGATCCAAACACTTTATAAATGCATATTTCTGAACTTCTTACGTCGAAAGGAACCGTTTGAGCTCAAACTCATGGTAACACGGCCATCCTGCGAGGAAGCGTCCACTCGATTTCTTTGTTTACCATTCCTGTTTTTTTACCTATAAAATATCAGGAGGCAGGATTTTCAATCTAAATCAGCTTATCTTTATTATCAATATCATTTAAATGGGATTGGCACTAATATTTGCTGGGTGCTGAAACCCCAGATTCTTCACGTTGGGAGCAGCTTGTCATAAGCTGAGTCCTTGATTTGTAGGAATTTTAGAAGTTCTTGTTTGGTGGTAGAACAATAGAATTGTAGACATTGGGTACCTTCGGAGAGAGAAGAAGAACCTTCGGTACAACTATAAGAACCGGCGGTGGGAGATGGACGATCTGGTCGAGGCTGATGAGTCAAGAAGAGAACTCTGGAATCTGGCCAGGTGTCT